TGAAAAGATTTGCCAATAGTTATTGGGCACAATTTAAGGGATTTGTATTAATGACATGGTGGCTCAGGGGCTAAGACGCTGAGCTTGTTGATCAGAAAGACTGGCAGTTCAAATCTCTAGCGCCGCGTAACAGAGTGAGCTCCCATGACTTGTCCCAGCTTCTGCCAACCTAGCAGTTTAAAAGCACATAAAAATGCAAGTAGAAAAATAGGGACCACCTTTGGTGGGAAAGTAACAGCGTTCCATGTACCTTTAGCGTTTAGTCATGCCAGCCACATGACCACAGAGACATCTTTGGACAGTGCTGGCTCTTCGCTTTGAAACGGAGATGAGCACCGCCCCCTAGAGTCGGGAACGACTAGCACATATATGCAAGGGGAACATTTACCGTTACCTATTAATCCCCAGCCTTAAACAGCTAATGGACAAACTATATAGCTCTAAACCCCAAACACCTCGAGTGATGGACCCAGTTGGGTTCCATTAAGAGATTTGGGATTTTCCCTGAAGATCTGGTGGGCAATTCAACTAAGGTCTTAGCCACTGGCTGGAATGGGCAGATGGGTGAGACTCTGGATTGATAACTTTTATCTGGCTTCTCCATGTGCACAGATCTCAAGTTGCACCTTGGTTCTCCTAAAAAACTCTGAGGGATGAAACGCCAGGTGACAGTGAGTTCTAATCCAGCCTTAGGCATGTAAGCCAGCTGGATTACTTTGGGCCATTTTCTCTCAGTCCAACTGATCTCATAGGATTCTTCTTGCTGTGGGGAAAATAGGAAGATGGAGGAATAGCAGGTATGTTGGTGGCTGTGAGTTATTTATGACTTTAATAAAGGTGGGGAATGAATGAATGAATGAATGAATGAATGAATGAATGAATGAATGAATGAATGAATGAATGAATGATACAATATAGTACAGTATACCTCACAAAGCTAAAAGGGGGGAAAGGCGAAGGACATTTAGACTTGCAAGACTCTTGTTACTGTAAGCCTCGGTGGCGCAGTGGTTAGAGTGCAGTACTGCAGGCTATTTTTGCTGACTGCCGGCTGCCTGCAATTTGGCAGTTCAAATCTCACCAGGCTCAAAATTGACTCCGCCTTGACAACTCAGTTGACTGCTGAGGTCGGTAAAATGAGGACCCAGATGGTTGGGGGCAATATGCTGACTCTGTAAGCCGCTTAAGTGCTATTGGTACTATAACATTTTATAAAAGTTCTTTTCGCATGCATAGCTTTGATTTCTTATTCTGGTTTACTTCAGAGGGCTGGCTTATACCATCAATCACATTATCCTTCTGGAGTGGCTATAAGGTTTGGGAGTGGGGGGGAGCATCCTTTTTTGGGGGGGTTCTCCTCCATTCTCCACTTTGGTATGTCAAAGAGGACCTTTTCCTGGTGGTTAAACCAAGCTACGGAATTAATTCTCTCAGGATATGCATTTGTTTCTTGCCTTGTCCATTTTCAGAGAATATATTTTTGTCCAATTTTCATTTCTTAATTAATTTTAATGTTATGTTATTGTTTTTTTCCTTTTTAAAATTATTTCTCTTTAATAGTAAAACAGGGTACATTTTCAATGAATGAACAGGCTTGTCTTTGGCTTCTGCTGTTTTGTCCTGTGAGAGTGAGAAGCCCAACTAATCAGAACAGAACATGCAACTCAACTAGAAGATTGCCCAACTGCCAGTACTCATAAGACTGGAACTGCAGCAAAGAGCTCATAAAAACATATTTTGGTGGAATGAGGCAGGATGGATGGAAGGATATGTAACCCAAGAGCAATGCCAGGAGATAGGGCCAATACACTTGCATTTTATCTATTTTATAACACTTCTGGGATTCTTTTGGACCGAAAGGCAGGATCAGCCTCAAGTAAACAAGGACCCTGCTGGATCCTAATAAAGTTCCAATAAACTCAGCATCCTGTTTCCCTGAGCCACATATGTTTCTATAAAGCCTTTCCTCTTAATGTACCACAGGACATAGTCTTTTAGGGATAACCGCCAACGAACATAAAAGGTTTCATAACCAATTTATATTCCGCAGATTACTGTTCTTCATTTAAACGTTTCCAATTATTATTATTTATTTGACAGGTTTATATCCCATCTTCATCCAAGAACTGAACACAGCGTTCATAGCACTTCCAAGTTTTCCAACAGCAAGTCTTCATGGTACTCAAAGACAGTGATTGACGCAGGGTCACCTGGTAAACTCCCCTATCCAAAGGTAGATGCGAAACTGGGTTTCCCCAATTGTAATCCAATATCTTAACATTCACTCTATACTGATTCTCCTCTTTTGGCAGTGAAATCCTGCTCTAATTTGGGCTTTCTACCAGAGGTTTCCAGCATAATTCTGAAGAACTATGTCATACCCAAGCCCAAAATTGCCCCACTGAAACCAGTAGGGTTCAATCCTATATTTCCTCATACCTGGCGGACAGACTCTTGCTAAACTAAAGCTATAACTTTCTAACTTACTAGGTATAGCCTGGGAGATTCTAGGGTGTGGCTACCATGCATTTCTCCCCCCCCCCCCAATTCTCCACCAGCTGAGGACTGTACAGTATCTTGACCTGGGTGTTTCTCTTGTAAGATTTACTGTCTCGTCCCTGAAAAAGTGTTGCCGAAACTCTCCTCCACTGGTACACATCACATCCATCACAAACAGCCTCACCTATCATATTTGTATGATCGCCCATCTCACAAGAGCATGAATCATGGGTGTTGTACATCAATGTGCTCCAATAATGCCACAACAGCCCCACAAACTTGCAATGGAAAAGCAAGCAACCTAAACACTTTAAAAAAGCTTAAATTCTAAAGAGCACTACAGCCAACAGAAGGCACCAAAATCACTGCACAACACCTTGCAACGTATGACTTACAGCTGGCATAGAAGAGCACTGCTGTGTGGTTGGTCTCTGCCAGAATTGAGAGGAAGGATTCTTCTGTCAGGGTATGGATGTGTTTCAGGGAGAGTTCACGCTTCCGATCTCTGACGGCTGATTCCACCACCTCATCATCCTGAATTTCTGCAAAGCAGATGCACATTCTAATTTACAAGAGGGACGGAGTGGAGAAAAGGTGCTTATATTATCATTGGTCTGAATACACCCCGAGGGGGGGGAAATGACGTAGGAAATGGAAAATGGAACTGTCTTCTTGGCAGCCATCACTTGCTTCAGGTTTTGTAGGTTTCTTAGTACGAAATTCGTAATCTACTTCCTCCCAAACTGCCTCCTGTTCTTCCCCATCACAATCATTGCCTCTTCACTTGCCCCTTCCTTCTTGAGGTTGGGGTTGCCTGGATATTGTTGAACTTAACTCCCAGCATCCCTTATGTCAAGGTACTGAGGATTTAATAGCTGCCAGCTGATGTAAAGTTGTAAGATGTAATCAGTAAGCTAATGCAATGTGGCTGATTTATTGCAGCGATGGTATTGCCTCTTTAAGACTCTGGTGGGGTCCACACAAGTCATTTACTGTTTTAAGAGGAGTCTATATATAGGTGGCAATTAGAGGGTGTGTTTCTCTCTCTCTCAGCGTGTATTCAGTTCTCTCCTTGTGTCTGTAGTGAATGGTAAGGGATTTTATCTCCTGCACGTGTTTGCCTGTATGTATTTGTAGATAAATCACTGTTGTCTTAAGGCTGTGTGTGCTGTGTTATTGCTCCTGGGTTTATCACATAATACTAGTCAAGCTGCCAAAACTCTGACAACTAGCCCTCCTCCTAGGGAACAGTAGTTCAACTCTATGATTTGCGCCTAGCAGGAAAAGGCAACACAAATGGGCAAGACTGCTCCTTGTCCCTGCTTCTGTCGCCACTTGATTATTCAAAGAGATCTTCCAAAAAAAGGGGGGTCACAAAAACAAGAAGAAAAAGAATGGCAACTTTTGGGGAACAAAATAAAATGTCCATTTTCTACAAGGCAATCTGCTGAATTTGCTCCCGAACATCCTTCTTCCCTGTAGAAGATTATGAACCCAGAGTAAAAAAACCAACAACATGTTTTTGCACTACTGATGGGTACCTTTACTAACAAAGTCACTTATCATGTTTATTTTCATCTCCAAGCCCTATGAAGAATTCAAGGGAATTCTGGGAAATAAATGATTTGGAAATTGCTTTCCAGCAAGGGCACTGCCAGTGCTGGTGGCCTCTGATGCCAGTATCGGCCCTGGTTAGCTTTTAGCAACCAGCCAAGATTGGTTATATGCTGCCCTCTAGCTGGGCCAATATACAATAATATGTAGAAACCAGGTGACTGTAAAACAATTGTGCAAATAATTTGCTTATCTCTGGTGAATATGGAATCCATGCAGGCTAGCAGGAAAGATTTTTTTCTTTGTCAAAACCAGCATTTGGAGTATGTTAGTTCAACTATCAAACTATAGAAGAATGGCAATGATATGTGTTGCCAATGAAGGAGAGTATTTGCAGCTGAAGGTTGAAATGAGAGATCCTGGTGCTCTCTGAGCTTGGCTGTTTTCTTGCAGATGCTTCAATACCCAAACTAGGTAACATCATCAGTGCTAGCAGATGACATCAGATGATCTTTAATATGCAGATGATATACCTAGTTTGGGTAATGAAACATCTTCAAGAAAACAACCTTATCAGAGGACACCAAAGACCCCCTCAATGAAATGTATATCAGACAATGAGAAGAATGGGTTTTTTAACCATTCTTTTAATTGGAAAGCAAAGAAACAAATTTGTGAAAACTTAACAGGTCAAAGACATTTCTGAGGAATCTTAATTACCTTGTTCATTGTTCTCATTCTCCACTCCCTCCTCTTCCTCCTCCTCTTCATAAACCTCTTCTGCCTTATCATCCAGACTAGGATTGCTCTGCTCACCATTTCTCACCAGTGCTACGATTTCATCGGCATCTTTCAATGTGAGATATTTAACGGGCATATCCTGCAAAAATGCAAATATCCAAAAATGTGGCCCAAAATAGGACAGTCCAGATTTCAACTGGTAACTCAATTGTTCAGCACACCACACACTCAGAAGGACACTGAAATAAGGCATTTGAATTACTATAGTCCTTATAAACAAATGGGGTTTCCATTATTGAATATTGATCTTCAGATCAAATCTCCATCTCTCAGATGCATTTTGACTGACATTGTTAAAAACTGTCTGGAAATATTCCAAAGTTATCATCGCCAATAAAAAATACATTACTGTTATACACTCTATAACACAGAACAGCTAAAGCAGCAAATTGTATGTGCATAATTCTGGAAGTAATCAGGAGCATTTCCTTTCCCGCAGACAAGCCTAGGATTGCACAATAAATTAAGAAGTCAGTCCAAAATAACAACTATGACCACTTACCTCCTCAACTGTCTTGATAGCCACATTATATCGGGAAGAAACATCCAGACCAACAGAATTCCTTTGAAGATATAAGAATTTAAGTTATGAATTACAGTAGAGAATTAGATTTTTGTAACAGTTTCAGAGAGATAAGTGAGAAATGTTGTATTCAGACCACAGGTTTGTGTTCAAATTATTCAAAACTTCTCTGTATAAAAACAAATGCTCCATGAAAAACAATTAGCATCTCAGAGAGATTAAATGAAACATATTTTGCCCCCATGTGCTGAGCCGCAGTGGCACAGTGGTTAGAATGCAGTACTGCAGGATACTTCTGCCGATCACCAGCTGCCTGCAATTTGGCAGTTTGAATCCCACCAGGCTCAAGGTTGACTCAGCCTTCCATTCTTCCAAGGTGGGTAAAATGAGGACCCAGATTGTTGGGGGCAATAGACTGACACTGTAAACCGCTTAGAGAGGACTGAAAAAGCACTGTAAAGTGATATATAAATCTAAGTGCTATTGCTATTATCCATTTTTATAGATATAAGGGAGAAAGTGATGGTCTTATCTACAAATGCAACCAAAGTATTAACCAGTCAATTAAAATTCATGAAATTCAGCTTCTTTTTGCCCTAATTAGACATAGAAGCATAGAGGTGAAAGGGACTTTGGAAGTCTTTGAGTCCATATCCCTGTCCAAGGCAGGAGTCCTCTTACCATCCCAGACAAATGGTTGTCCAATGTTTTCTTGAAGACCTTCAGCAATGGAGCACCCGCAGCTATGGGAGGCAAGCTGTTCTATTGATTAACTGTTTCCAATGTCAAGAAATTTATCCTTAGTTCCAGGTTGGATCTCCCTTTGATGAGCTTTCAGCTATTGCTCCTTATCCTACCCTCAGGTGCTTTGGAGAATAAGTCAACCCCCTCTTCTCTGTGAAAATTCTTCAAGTTATTTTGCTTAACTACTCTCTCAATCCAATTGTCCTTAATCTCTAATTTCTCTCATTTATCCAAATGTTCTTTCACTGTGACAAATTTCCTTTTGGGTCTGAGACCAAATTCTCATGAGTGCAAGTACACCTCCAGTGCCTTTGGTTCTGCCAACAGTATTCCCAACAAAACTCTTAGCAAACTATATGGAAGCTCCCTCCTTGGCTATTAAACATGTATGCAGAGATAGCAAAAGGTACCCAGCCACAGACTTCATTGGGAATTCCAGTCATGGCATCCAGGGTTATCTGCTTTATAAAAAGGATTGTTTCATATTGCTTTTACTTGCTTCCTTCGAGCAGTGCTTGGGGATCAAATTGCACATTAGACAGACAACTGCATATACATAATAGAGCACAAGAAAATATTAACATTAGTAAAACACCGGTGTGAAAGTCACAGAATCACATGGAAGAAGAAGCTGAAACTTTCTCTTCTTTGGGTTCAGATGCCTATTTACCACCATCCCTACATCCTTCCTTGCATGAATTATTGTGGAATGATCATATTAATTATTTTACTTTGATTTAAAGCCAAGCAAAATAAAGTTTACTGTGTGTCCTGACCTTTCCCATTACTTTTGGAAAGATGGTTCCAGCAAAGTCTTATGCCTGCCATTACACACACACACAAACACACCAAGATATATGACCTCTCACTAAACTGAAATTAGAAAGAAAAGCAGATGTGGATTCTGCCCAGTGCAGCTACGTTTATATATCTTTTAGGTTCCTTACAAAACAACCCATTTTGCCAAAGTTTTGTAAATTAAAGTTTAAAAAGCTGTACTGTAGCGCCACCTGGTATTTCTTGCCATATTGCAGCTAGCCTTCCATGGGCAAGTTCTGCCATCCCAGAAGTGGGATGCAACTCCCAGCAGTCTTGGGACGTCATGGTAAGGGGTGCTGGAAGTTGTAGCTCAACAACTTCTGGCCAATTATAAATCCACATGATGTTACAATTATTTCACAAGCAGAAGTCACAGAGGCCCAAATGGTATGAGTGCACATTTCAATACAAACTTTTCTTTTCTTATAGCAAATATTCAGAGGTTTAAAGGCTTTTGATCATATAACCAATGGTTAGTGAAGACTGACAGCCGCAAATAAAATTTCAATAAGCTAATGGTTTGAATAATAGCTCATTCTCCTCTCCCGGCTTAACTGCAAACTGATCAAATTATGAAAGATAAGCAAGTATATTCAGCTCTTGCAGAATTCATCTCTTATTTATTTCAGCAGGGTTCTCATGTTGGGAACTCATGCTTGCTCTTTCCTATCTGCCCTGACAAGATCTTGCATTGTTTAATCACAGGAATGAGCATTACTGCAGGAATACCTGCCCACCTCTAGCCGATTTCAGTCCTATTTGCTAGGAATGAGAAGTGCAATGAAACATTTCTTGCAGACATCCGTTTGGGAAGGGATGCAATTAAGATTCAGGCACCCAGTTAATTTCTTAAGCCTTTTTTTAGCCTTGGCAACTTTAAGATGTGTAGATTCTGAGAGTTGAAGTTCACACAACTTAAAAGTTGCTAAGGTTGAGAAACATTGTCCAAAGCAAAAGGATAGGCTTCAACCTTAGACCCCGTTCTAAATCTTCCTAGGGATATCTTTGGAGGTTGGAAAAGTTGGGGGTCGAAACTATCAAGATGGGCAGTCACAATCAAAGCTCAAATTCTTACTACATGCGTGTGGGATGCACCACATGCACATAAACTGTCTCCCCCTTTTAATGAGGAGCTTCAACTGGAGCTTCAATTTAATTGGTGCTTCAATTATGCAGTAGCATTTGCCTGAGTCCATCATGGACGCAAGTCTATGGAGATATGGAGATGGTTATCTCAAAGGTACATTTTCAAAAGGCAACTGGACTTCGTTTTTCCTTAAAGATGTTTCACTTCTCATCCAAGAGCTGCGCTTCCATTTTAGAAGAAACTTCTTCCATTTTGGAAGAAGCTTCTTTGCATGCATTTTAGATGAGAAGCAAAACGTCTTCGAGATAAAACAAAGTCCAGTTACTTTTTGAGAATGCTTTGGGATAACCATGACGTGCATGATTGAAAATCTCCATAGACATGCCTCCATGATTTTTGGGGCCCCATGCAGATGCCCCTGACACTTGCTGTGAATCTTTGGAAATTTCCAACCTCAAGAATTACACTGAGATAAGAACAATGGTGAGATAAGTTCTCCCCTCTCTTCTGCCTCCCCACTTTTTAATTCCAAAGGACCTTGACAAAAGGAGAAGTCCTGCTTTCCCCAGCAACTGCCAGGCTACAGATTCAGCAATCCTCTTGTCCGCTTCCAGGGTCTCTTCCTGGCTCAGAATGAAAATCAGAGGTAGGCCAAGCTGGAGATGAGTAGTTGAAATCTTTTCGGGATCTTCTGCAACCTCCACCTGGAGATGAAACACCAGCATAAAAGATCAGCTGAGT